AGAAAAGAGACAGAGACAGAGAGACAGACAGAGACAGGAAACTTGTTTGGTATAAGGCTGGGACTGCCCTCCCTCTTAACTCCTTCCTCCACTCTGTGACAAGGACCTGTCCTGTGCAGACATGAGCATTTAGGAAGTGTTTACTGTGTACCTGGCCATGCTGGGTCCTTTCGTCACCCAATTTCACTTAGTCCTGCAAACAGCTTCTCTCAGTTGTCCAAATGAGGCAAATGAGAGCGGCCATGGCCACTAGCCACTCAGAGCTAGGAGAGTCCCTGACCCAGACTCTGTACCAGAAGGCTCTCAGCTCAAAAAGCTGGACTGGAAAAGAGCAGCCACACTTGAAGTTGGCCATCCTTCTCGGCTCCCTTGCAAAGAGCAGGAGAGGTCGAAAGGAGACAAGCCTGGGTAGCTGCCCAAGTGGGCTTTGCCAGGAAGCTGGGCCATGCTGGCTGGAGCCAATGGGGGTCAGAATGGAGGAGCACCCCTTCAGGAGGAGCTAGTCCCTGGGGCCTGGCTCTGGTGGGAAAGTGAGCAAGGCCAGTGGGACAGTGTGAGGCACCCCTGCAGCCCTCTGGCCCTCTGGCAGGCCCTGGGGATGCCTGGGACGCCAGGGACTTAGTCATCGATGGTGAGCTGCGTTTCCCATCCTCTGCTTGGGAAGAAGTGTAGGAAGATGGAGTCCCAAACCCAGCCATGAAAGGAATTTTAGATTATGAGGGACAAAGGTTCTTGTGCAGGACAGCTTGGAGGAGTGCCAAATTTACAGGCCCTCATCAGGAAGATGCAGAGCTTTATTTGGGTACACTGCTGCCCATCACCTCAGCCCAGTCCTGAGTTCTCAACCCCGTTCCACAGGGACAGTCCCAAGTGAGTGCCCTGTGGGCTCATCTCTGTCTCAGGGTGGCTTTGGAGAACCGACCTGTAACAATGACGGTGACAGTGTGGATGGGTGATGATGGGGATGGTGTGGTGACCATGGTGATGGTGACCATGGTAAAGACATATAACAAAATGCCACAGAGCATTTGGCTCACACGATATAAATTTATCTTGTCACATTTCTGGAAAGTCCCAGATCAGGGCTCCTGTGGGTTCCGCCTGTGACGAGAGCTCTTCTGCTGTGTAGGTGGTAGCTTGGTCCTCCCCTGGTGTCTCCTTGAGTGTGTGCTGAGGACTCCTCCTCGGAAGCCACCGGGCTACTGGATTAGGACCCTGCTTTCATGACTTCATTTAGCCTTCATTTCCTCCCAAAGAGCCTCTCTCTAAATATAGCCACATGGGGTTTAGGGATTCAACATAAGAATTTTTAGGGGGCCCAGTTCAGCACATGACAGGTACTGATGACAACGCCAACATCCATAGCTGTGTTTGTGACAGTGGTGGTAGTGATGACAGTGACAGCTGCTGTTTATCGAGCACTTACTACATGCCTGGCACTGTGCTTTTTCCATTTCAAATGGGATAATTAAATCAGTCCTCACAGTAATCCTACGACCTTGGAGCCCGTATTATCCTGATTTTTCAGAAGGGGAGACCAAGGCCGTTGTTCTCTAATGTCCTAAGATCCTGCTGCATGGGACTGTGACACGGCTTTAGAATGGGGTTGTTTGGGCAGAGGTGGGTAGTAATGATCACTGCATTGAGCTGAGCTGTTGCCTCCCTATATGGAGATGGCCATCTCCAGGGAGGTGACCTTTGAGGGCTTGGCTGATGTCACCTGGGAACTGTGGTGCTGCCACATGTAACAAGCAAGCACATGTAGGAAAGCAAGCACAAATGCCAAGAGCCATCAGCAGGGATGGCTCCACACCCAGGTGCTGCTGCTCCCCTGCAGGGCTCCTCCTCCCAAGAGTCACTGGGACCTAGAAGTCTGTCCTGTGTGAGACAGACATAGCACCAGCACTCTTGCTTCTAGGTCAAGGGCCTTTGGGATTGTCAGGAGGTGTCCTTATTTGCTTGGGTGTTAAGGAAAAGTAGAAAGGGAGACAGTGCGCTTCTAAAGCTAGGCATTTCAATGCAGTCTCAAGTGTCCAGGTCTAGGAGTAACAGTTAAGAAAGGCTAATGAGACATCCATGGCCCTGGTCTGGTGCTTCAGCGGGGCTGGAGGTAGGCAGAGAACACGAACCAGAGCTCCACCCTGCAGTGCCTTGGGACAAGTCACTCCACCTCTCTGAGCCTGTTTCCTCACACATGCACCCACCTATCTACCCTCCGCCCATCTGCATAGCCAGCCACTCATCAGTCCAGCCATCTCTGCTGATGATGCCAGGGCCCAGGCCCCACTGTGTGCATTCACTATCTTTGGGTAAATGTGCAGAAAACAGGAACTTCTGCTGTTCTGTCTGGAGGGAATGGGCCAGAAGCATGCACTTACCAGGACAGCTGGCCTGAGCCAGGCAGTCTCCTGAGATAGTGAGCTTGTCTGAAATGACGTCGTCCTCTTCAGAGGGCTTGAGAATTAAGGGGACCTGACACAGAGCCTGGGTGCTCAACAGGCCATTTTATCTGTCAAGACCCCCTGTGGAAGAGCTTAAAGATGCCAAGACCCACTTGGAGATGAGAAAAAAATAAAAAGGAAAAAGAAAAGAACAGTTCTAGGGTGGTAAAGGCCCTCAGTGGCTAAAACTAGACTTGTCTGGGTGTTCCTAATGTGTCAGTGGAAATACCCATCTCTCTTAGAGGCCTCTCCACATTGAGGTCTGAGCTGTGCTGTAATCTTCTCTGGCTGTTTGCTGGCTGCTTCTGATTTGTGGAACTCAATTCCAATTTCTGGAGGATGTTAACTGGGACAGAAATGTTGCAAAGAAAAGAGGTGGGGAACTGTGGTGCTGCCACATATAACAAGGGAGAGGCAGGCCCATCTTAGCGGGCCTAGCAAATTACACAGCGGAACATGCGGCACAGGGCAATTTGACATGTTCTACCCAGGGTTCTAATTTGAGATTCTGATGAGGCTCTGGTCTGTGGTCTTTCCTACAGACTGTGGAGGGAACAGCCTTTAAAGTTCTATGTTCTCTACCAGAACCCAAGTCACTAAATTTGCTTTTTTGGTATTGGGAATCGAACTCATGACCTTGCACTTACTAGGCAGGCACTGTGGTGCTGAGTTATATAGTTGGTCCCCACAAATATGTTTTTAAACAAAAGGAGGCCTGTTTAAGAGGTGACCAGTCTGTCCTTGAAAAAAAAAATCTGAAATTAGAAAAACAAATGTCTTACTTTAAACGTTTATTATGGTGGTCTTTTTTTTTTTTTTCGGGAGGAGGGGTGACCTCTGTATATTTTAAAAATTTATTTTAAAATTTTGATTAATAGCGGGCCAGGGAGATAGCTCAGTAGAATAAGCACTTGGTTGGCAAGTGCAAGGGCCTGAGTTCAATCCCTGGTTTGGCAAAAAAAAAAAAAAAAAAAAAAAAAAATTTATTAATACACGTTTGCAACACAACTATGCTCACATAAGGGGCTGGTACGTGTACCTGACATATTTTTATTTCCCTGTCCTCTGTCCCATCTCCTGGTCCCCTTGTCATTTGCAAAAGATCCAACTACCTGTTTATTAAGGGTCACATTTCCATGTGAAAGCTGGCCCTCCTAGATAGATGTGTGACTATGGCTTAGGATGGGCTAGCTCAGGGTAGGTGATAGTGCCTGACCGTTATGCACACCCGAGCCAGCGCAGTCTGGTTTCACCCACCCTAGGGGCACTGTGCCTCTCAGGTGGCCCAGAGGGAACCACTTAGCCAGCCCTGCACAAAGCAGAAGACTGACTAAAGTTCCTCCCCATGACCTGGCCCGTCTGTTGCCATACAGAATCCAAGAGGCTCTCAAAAGTTGGGGGCATCAGAATTACTTGCTGAGACCCAAGTCAGCCCCGGGCCTAGAAATCTGCACTCACTTCTCCCCCAAGTGCTCTGGCCATGTTTGCTCCACAGGTGTATTTTATCATGTTAATAGCGCTCAGATTTTATAAACCAGGGACACTGGAAAAAGAACCTTCAAGACTCACTTTTGAGTTATCTCTTATTTTGTAATGAAAAGCAATGACCACAGCTGGGTGTGGTGGCATGTGCCTATTGTCCCAGCTACTTGGGAGGCTGAAGCAAGACTGTTGAGTTCAGCATGGGCAACTGAACAAGACCCTCTCAAAAAAAAAATGACCATCTCGTTTCATGAAGAACTTAAAAGAGTTTTGCAAAAATCTCTGCTCAAGGCCTTTATTGCCCCCTTTGCTAGGAGAGCTATGCATATCCACCATCTAGTCTTCAGGTGTCCCAAGGGGTTTTGGGCAACACTTTGGAGAAAGGGATCCAAGATACAAGGCTGACTAAAGAAAACCATCATCTTACATTCTTTTATTATATATATATATATATATATATATATATGTTTTATGTACAATCATTGGCTCTATCAAGTAATCAGACCAAGGCATTCGACTGGTAGCCTTCCATAAAATAGATCCAGGTGGAGTAAGACACTTATGCACTTTGCGGGCTACCAGAACTTAAGACTGCTGATTTCCATTCTGAGGCCACGCACATACTTCAAAATATACTAAATATATGCGTTAAGGCGATAAAGTGAACTGAAAGAAACCACAGGATGCAGAACGATTAAACGGTGTATTTTGCTTGCTCAGAGCTGCAAGGTAGATGGGAAATATTGTGCGTATCTCACAGCTTAAGTAGTGCGAGGAGCTTCTGGAAGCTGAAAGTGTTCGTGCGGCGGTGGGCAGAATTACGCGACCCGCTGGAGGCGCACCCAGGGCTCATTTCTTCTTTGCGTCTCCTTCCTTGGGTTCTTGCTTCAGTTTGTAATCGGCCAGGGCAGCCTTGATAGCATCTTCTGCCAGCACTGGAAGGGATGGAAGGAGAGTGCCTGAGATTCTACACACGGAGAAATGTCTCGGGAGGAAAACCTTTGATTTGGAGGGCACCAGTGAGGAGGGCCTTGTCTGAGTGATCCAGCCAGGTGCTGGGTGGAGGGTCTGCGCGAAAGTTGGCCTCCTGCTTCCGGGGCCTTGTTACTCCTGTGTGTGGGACATGGACTGTGGTATGTGTATCTGGGATTCTAGCCTAGTTTCTTAGCCTTTTGGAATCCATTTTCCCTTTGGGAAAACTAGGGTAGTCATACTTTTCATGCCGGGATAGGAGGGGATTCCAGAAAGTGGCTGACACTTAACAGGGATACAATGAACATAAGTTCTTGTCTATTCCTGAGAAAGTCTGGGATGAACACAGCAGATACTCTTTAAACTAGGTGGCTGACCCTAAGTCCCAGGTCACCTTCTCGTGATCTCAAGTCTGAAAGCTTGTATTTAGGAATAGATATTGAATGTGAAGTATGGGGATGACCGAAGACAGTAGCAGAGCGCTACACATTTCAGTACGGTGCCTAATAGAAAGCTGAGGTTTTCCCGTAACCCTGTGAAAATGTTTACAAGCTACAACTTCCCTTCATGGGTACTTAACATTCCAGCTCAAGTGGGAAGAAGTTGGGTCTCAGCAGGTGTCTTGAGACCAACACTGCTGCGCACCCACGCCAGCACTGGCTCTTCTCCTATGCCCTTACCCCAGCAGGAAGCCACTCTGCAGATTTGTTAACAAATTTCGTTAGCAAACCTCTATCGATGTTTACAGTTGAAGCAACTGTTTCTCATTTCCTATGTCCTAGAAGAGGTTCAGAGAGGACAGAAGAGAACTAGATGTAATAACAGTGACGACTGCAGAGAAGGCCAGGTGCAGGCCTCGGGGGCTGCGGGCTCTCAGGATGGCACACAGCAGGCTGCACCACTCCACTCAGGCAGATGCAGATGCACAGCTCAGCAGTCACAGCACCCAGGTGGGTGGTGCCAGAGGACACAAGCAGCACACTGTAGCCAAAGCTGGGCTTCTGCCTCTGCTGGCCCTAGCTTGGCTACAGCACAATGCTGGAATCAGAGACTGGGGCTTCAACTCTGGCTCTCCCACCTATTGATTATGTGATGTAGCTGCTTTCTGCTGAGCCCAGGCGCCTCCAGAGGAGGGGAGTGGTGACATTTGCTGTGGCCCCAAGGCCGCTTCTGAGGTCTCAAGGTTACGCCCTTCAGGAACTCACTGTGGCTCCCAGGGCACCCAGCCTCCTGGCCTGACTCTCAGGAGGTCCTGGCCGCAGGGCGCCAACCCTCTGAAGGTTATATAGACAGGTTCCCTGAGCTCTGATCATCCGTGGGTTATGTGGATGGGCTGTCACCTGACAGGACTGTCACCAATGCATCTGAAATTACTGCCAGCATCCCTGCCAGCTGACACCCCAGAGGGCAGACTCACTGGAGCAGTGCAGTTTCACGGGTGGAAGGCAGAGCTCCTTGGCAATGTCCGTGTTTTTGATGGTCAAGGCTTCCTCCACCTGAGAGGCACAAGCAAAAGATGAATGGTTGTATAGAAGCTTTATCTTGAGGGGTCAGACAATAAACAAGGAAGGCCCAAGAAGACAGGTTGGCAGGGAATGATTTCTGCCTAGTAATGGACAAGGCCCTACTGCCTTCTCAGGATTCCCACTGGTGTGCCAAACCACTGCTGGGATTCTCCAGTGTGACATACACACACCTGTAGCGCTGGGCCCAGAGAACAAAACAGCTGAGACACACCCACCAGTCAGGTGCAGGCAGAGTCTCTGAGGGATGTGCTCACAGCCGGCAACAGTCGCTTAGAGGCAACCATGTACGCTGCTCCACCAGGTCTCAGGCTGAGAGCTCTGCTCAGACTGATCCTTTGCCTAAAGTGGATAATCTCCTCCAATACAGGCTGCAGAGGATGCCTGCGGTCTGGGTGGGGAGCCCTGGGGTGATGGGAAGCTGACAAGTTCCTGTCCCTGTGGAGCAGAACCCCAATGCATTAAGGACAGGCAGATGTCTCCAAGGGCCTGACTCTGGTTAGCTGAGGAGGATTTCAAGGTTAAAGGTGCTCTTCTCCATTGCTGATAGTGACTCAGAGCCCCCTAGAGGTGAGGTCCCAGAAGTGCACCCTGTTGTTTCCTCATTCTGATGGATCATTTGAGATCTACCTCCTGTTCTTAGGCCTGTACTTTGGGGGCGCAGAGAGCTCCCAAGCAGCAGGCCTGGAGCTGCAGGAAGCAGGTGGCATGTTGTCTGGCAAAATGCTTTCTGGGAGAGCTGGTCAGCACTCCAAGCACATGACCCATGACTCAGCTCCCTGAGCTGGCTCCCCAGGGGTGTCAAGGACAAGTGCCCTGCAGGCTGGCTTTTCACAGTGGTGTTATAGCAAGTGGATTTTAGTCCAGATCTTCACAGAGGTTCTATGCCTGCAGCTGCTGGGGAGGAGGCTATGGTTGAGAAAAACATGGAAACAATGTTCTGGCCTTCTTGTCTACCCTTGGGCCAGCTGATAAGCTCCTGGATCCCTGCGGTTTACTTTACCCTTAGTCTTGCTGTTTTTCATTTTTAGTATCTCTTTTAACATATGCTAGTTTAGTGCCCGGGATATAGCCTAGCAGCACAGCACCTGCCTGACAAGCACAAGGTTCTGAGCTTGATTTGTAGAAAAAAAAAAAAAAAAAAAAAGAAAAAGAAAAAGAAAGAAAGAAAGAAGAAGCTAGTTCATTTCACCACTACTTGTAAGGCACCAGGGATCTTTCCTGAAAAATAGAATGGGAATGGGAAAATAACCATTATACAATATCCCCCCAACCTGATTTAAGAAAGCTAAGGAACTATAAGAATATCAGCAATCTTAGAGAAAGACAGATTTCAATTTCTGTTTTTTGAGACAGGATCCTGCTACATAGTTCAGGCAGGCCTTGACCCTACTATGTAGCCCAGGCTGGTCTCAAACTCACAGTGCTAATCCTGTCTCAGCCTCCTGAGTGTTGGAGTCACAGGTGTGCGTCACCATGCCTGGCCTCAATTTTACTTTGTCAAAAAGATAGATGAGAATCTTTTTTCTATGTAATTAACAAAATACCACCAGAACTCCCATATAAAAATAATCAACACAAATCCCTAACAATCTATAATTCCACAGTGGCTGGGGTTTGATCCCTGGCTTGCTGTGCTAGCCTCACCCCGGGGGGCATGCTGAGATGGTGACTGAGACTGCGAGTGGTGGCATGTGCCTGTAATCCCAGCACTTGGGAGAATCACTATGAGTCTTATCTACGTAGTGAGACCCTGTAAACCCTGTACCAAATAGATTTTAAAAAATCTGTAATTCTCAATGTGAGGAATGCAATCAACAGCTGAGGAAGGAAGGGGTTAAAATAAAACTTTTTGCATAATATTTGGGAGAAATCATAACCACTTTTTTTTTTTTTTTTTTTTTGATTCACTAGGCTCTTCAAGAGGTAGGTTGCAAAGAGTGCAATTTAACTTCATCACACTTATAAGCAAGCTCACCGTCTTCCCTTTCACCCACTCGGTGGCCAAGGAGCTGGAGGCAATCGCAGAACCGCAGCCAAATGTTTTAAACCTGGCATCTACGATCTTCCCCTTTTCATCCACTTGAATCTACAAGAGACAGGAGTTACACGGTGATTCCTGGAGCCACCCTCTGGAGGCCAGGAGTTGGTCCTTATGGACACCTAAGAAGGTCTTCAGTAAGAGCTCTGGGATTTCTGTCTCCACTGAAAATTAAGCCATTAATTACTGAAGTAGCTTTGTTTTAAAGACCTCAGTGATGAAAAATGAGACTTGGGAGCAAGTAGATAGGCCCAGCCGGTAAGAGAGGTGAGGATCACCCTTCCACACTAGTTTTACTTTGTTTGCAATCCTAGCATACTTTTTGGCTATAAAATTCTATTTGAAGAAGTCTGCTCAGACCAAAATTAGAGAAAAAGGAGGGATACAAGGAAAGCCAACATTTTGGCCCTAGCCTTCTAAGGTCAATTAAGACTCAGGACATATGAGAACTTGTACTGTAACGTCATGTACCTCGGTAGTGTCCCAAATTTTCTGATCAAGAAGATTATGGGGCCAAAGAGGAAAGTGATCGATGACATAGAGTGGGCCTAAGGAGAGTCACATGGGGAGAAGATACTCTCTCAGGCTTTCACAGAGAGCACATTGGCTAAGCACTGGCCGTGACTCATCCACATGGCTGCACTGATAATGGTTCTACAATCTGAGGTACAGGATCTCAGGACAAATCCTGAGGGCATTACACTGACCTTCTCAGACCAAAAAGCTACAACTCTTGTTGCATAGGTCCTGCTTTACCTTGGTCTTAACCATCCAGCAGAAAAGTATGAAGACGAAATTATAAGAAATAAAGCCATGCTGTTAAGTTGAGCTGTGGGGGACTCAGGTCAATAATTTCTGACATTGCCAGTTAAACAGAAGACCCAGTGCTATTATGGGCTACTGGACTCTTTTAGAATATTTTGCTGAGTTTACACACCTATAATATTCAATAACGGAACTTAGAAAAAATGGGGTATACAGATGAATGTCCATTTTGTATCTGTGTATTCAAAGTGGTTGGGATAGATACATAGTTACATTCTGTTAATGAATAGAATGATTTGTTCTAATGGTGTTTGTAAATAGGATCGCAAGTCCGCATCTTGTACAGCAATTAACCACTAAGAAGAATATATGCAGTGTATTATTTGTTGAAAAATAAAAAAAAATAAATAAATAAAAATAAACAAAAAAATATCAACCAAAAAAAAAGAAGTCTGCTCAAAGCTTCTGGGAACTTATCCCCATAAACACTGGGACTCTGTAATCAAGGTCTCTGGTTAATACTCTTTTCTTGGGCATCAAACTGTACTTAGCAGTTCCCTCTTGTCTGTGTTTTTCAAGGTAGGTATGAAGACCTCTGGCAAACAAACTGTCTGCCTAACATGAAGGAGACTGTGGCTAAAGCTACGGCTTATCCAAAGCTTTCCAAGTAATCCATTACCTTTATGTCACTTCCAATTTGGGAACAGTCCTAGTTTATTGCTTTTCTTGTCTCACTAAGGAATATTAGCTCACTAGACATTTCCTTTGATCAGCAAATTCCAGAAAATCTTTCACATATCTGAAGATGAAATTTAAACTGATATAGTCAATTTGGATCCACTTCCTATTTCAGACTAGGTCAGCATAGTATACTAGCTGGAAAATTAAGACCAAATCTCTGCACTAATCGTTTCTGCTACTCACGCATTCCATCTCATGTGAATAAAGACGAAGATTAAATGGGATGCTATGCACACAAGTGCCCTGCCAACCATGAAGCGCTGTTAAGTGAAGGGGTTACTCTTATGATGAATAAAGACAAATCATGTGGTACCTGCAATTTCATGACATCACCACACGCTGGCGCACCCACCAATCCAGTTCCAACATTTTTAGACGTCTTGTCAAGAGACCCTACATTTCTAGGATTTTCATAGTGATCCACAACCTGAAATGACAGAGTTAGAGAAATCACAGTCACTCCACTGGCACCAGTCTCTCTCAAGGTCAGCAACCTGAACCTGGCTGTGCAGTAGGAAGGCCTATGCTTATGTTGATGAGAATCATTTGTGATCCAAATTGTTTTTGTATCTTCTCTCCAATTACCTTCCGAGATTGGAGACATTGTCTGAGACAGAGCAAAGAAATTTTAAAAAGTCACGTTTTTAGCTCCTTGGGGTTTTCTACCATAATCACTTGGCTGTTACCAACCTACACATCACCAGATTTGTGCTTGAGCCGTGTCTTATTTCCCTATAAAATCCACTGTTAAAGAAGGATTAAAAAAATTCTAAAATAAATATGGCCCAGAAATGGATGCTTTCTCACAACCCACAAGGTGACTGTCGGAGATTGAACTCAGGAACCTGTGCTTGCCAGGCAAGCGCTTATTCTACTGAGCTATCTCTCTGGCCCACACAGGGCAACTCTTAATGCAAAGAACAATGCTATGGAACGAGTCCCTTCCTGCTTACACATTAAAAACAAAACAAAACAAAACAAAACAAAACAAAACAAAACAACGCGGCACTATTCAGAACCCGAAGCCACGCCGGCGCAGCAGCGCACTCTGGTGCCAAAAGGCTGCCAGCCCAAGTCCCTAGGTAGATCAGTGCCTACAAAAACACAGCCTGGGTGGGGGTAAAGTGACGCTTTGACAGAAGTGCTGAAGCCAGAACTGGGTAAACATTCACTCACATTGGCACACCAACGCTGTAAAGATCCTGAGGTTTGTTTACCAATTAGCCATACTATCTTGATCTCCTAGTCCTCCCTACTTTTCACCTGAGAACAGAGCTCCAAGGACCTACAAAATATCTAATGGAGTTTTTTTTTTAATCTTGTTGACTTATATAATTCTTTAGTTGTTTCCGGAGTCCACGTGACGAGAAGGGACCCCAGAAGAACCCCACCCCCCTACCCCGGGGAAGGAAAACAAATCTTGTTAGGCACGTAACTCCTGGAGGCCATGTCTAAAACAGTAACAACATCCTAAATGGCCTCCGTGTTAGCCCAACCTCTTGTAGGGGATTGCTGCCTTCCACTTCCTCATCTGGGGAATCAGATGCGGAGAGGCGCCCCGACTCCCCCTTGGTCGCTTAGCTATATATATCGCTGAGGCCTGACTGAAGCCGATCTCGCCTGGCCTGTGCATCTCGACGCAGAATGGTAAAATCACAATAGAACCCCCTCCAGACTGGGCTGCCGGCGAGTTTAAAGCTGGAAGTGGCGGACAGCAGCGAAGTCACTGGAAGTCGCCACGATATCACGGGCACATCAGCGGCGGACAGTATTACTACACAGCGGTAGGAAAGTGAGAGGAGGCCGACGTAGGGGCGGGTCGTCCCTCCCAGCCCAGGGACCTCCGGGGTGCCTGGACCCCTTGGATGACCCGCGTTCCCCCTTGCCCACCCATACCTTCTTGTGATAGAGCCGGGCCGGAGCTGACAGCTCCCGGGCGGGCAGGCGGGGGCTCTGCAGGAGGAGGGCGGAAGCCGCCCGCCTCAGGCGGCCAGCTCCAGCCGCCGCCATCTTCCCGGCGTGCACCTGCGCCGGCCAGGAGAAGGGGGCGTGCCCGCGAGTCGCTCTGCGGGCGTCGCGTCTCGGCGCATGCGCCCTCCAACTCCGTGCGCGTGTCTGCCTTTTGACCCCGCCTTGACCACACCCCCAGGGGCGCGCACCGGTTGCGGAGCGCGAAGGTCTGAAGTCGCCGGAGGGTTTATTATTGGGTGCTAGAGGGTGCCCGGGAAGCCTCAATCCACCGGACTGCGGGATAAAGCTCAGGTTCAGAAAGCCCGCCCCCGTAATGCGGTGCAGAGGACCACCCGGGCCACCTTTCCTAACCCTGTTTTGCAGCGAAGGAAGCTGAAGCTCAAAGCGTTTTAGTAGTTTGTCCAAGATCTTTCGTGAGTTAGGGACCCGAATTCGGATAATTTTAGGTTACCTGGTTCTGCTCCTTGGCTGTGTGACCCTAGGCGAAGGGATTTGGCTCACCAATCTTCGAGCTTCTTTTTGTGCCACTTCAAGGGCAGTTCGTCCGCAGGACAAATGCGTGTTGAGTATCTCCCACCTTTTGTGTCAGGGTGCTCGCTAGACCCTGTGGATCCTACGGAAAACAGACACACTTTCCGTCTCATTAAAGTTGCTAATGAAGGACAAAGGCGAGACGTTTTCCTACCTCAAAAAACAGAAGGTTAATTAAGAAATGAACACCACCACCACCCCCGATTTTAAAAAATATGCAGTATCCATCTTTATATGTATTTCTAAGACAACAGCAAACTGTCAACATTTTTATGACAACGCAAGTCAACTAGGAGTTTCTAAAATGCTTATAAATGTAATTTATTAATATGGACCTGACCACATTTTTTAAGAACATGATCTTACAAAAATCAGAAAATTCACGTATGTATTTAATGCCTACCAGGCGTTATATAAGGGGAAGGAATCATTTTGGAAAGCAGAGTTTTCTTATGAATGGTGCAATCGATCGTTGCCTGAGGACTGGGGATTTTCTCCCGAATCGGGTCTCGGTTCCTGGGAAACTAAAGCACGCTTTAGGGTATACTAGATTTAGCCCAAGAATCATCTGACCTTCTCAAGATGGCGTCAAACCCTTTCCTATAGACATCACGCTCACTTTCCTCTATGGCCCCCATTTCCGGTCCAAGGACCCTACTTCTGTCCGAGGTTGTGACGGCACGCACGTTATGTTAAGGAGTTATTTTTCCCCTGAAAGGCTTTCGGAATATTTAAAGTGATGATAATTTCATGCTATAAATAGTTTTTCCTGTCACACGAGGCTTTTAGTTTTCTTTTAGGGGGCAACAAAATAGGCTTATGATCAGGCGCGCGCTTTGGACGACTTCGACTCCAGCGGGTCTTCGGCGGCCGAGGGAAGACCCGGGAATCACTGGAAACGCAAGATGGCGACGGCGGCTGCCTCCTCGGCTTCGGAACCGGAGCCCGAGCCCAAAGCTGCGGCCAGGGCTGAGGGAGAGGAGGACGAAGTGACGGTGGCTAGGACGAGGAGAAAAGTGTTATCTCGGGCTGTGGCCGCTGCGACGTACAAGACCATGGGGCCAGGGTGGGAGCAGGAGGAAGAAGGTGTGAGCGACAGCGATGCTGATGAGTACGCCATGGCTTCCTCCGCAGAGAGCTCCCCGGGGGACTACGAGTGGGAGTACGACGAAGAGGAGGAGAAGAACCAGCTGGAGATCGAGCGGCTGGAGGAGCAGGTGGGGTCGGGGGAGGACCGCGGGCTCCTTCCGTTAGGGCCCCAGATCTCGGCCCGCCTCCTCGGTCCTTAGCGGCGAGGAAGCCGCCGAGGCCGCAAACCCTTTGCTAACCTCGTATCTCCTGTTGCTTGAGCTCTTGGAGCGTGCTCGGTGCTTTGCTGGCGTTATCTCGTTGGCTCCTCTCCACCCCCGGTGAAGGAAGTGGTCTTGGCTGGGATTTGCGGGAGGAGTCTCTTGTGTTACCCGGCCTTTAAACCGACTCCCTAACACCTAATTTTAAGCACACAGTTGAGCAGGGCTTGACAGTGAAACAAAGTTTCATTCATAAGGAGTTTGATTTCCTACAGGGGTAAAGGTAGTGTTACGATATGGTGTGGGAGGAAAAGTATTGACCAGGATGTTCGTAGAAGTGGAAAGAGAGGTTGAAGATACGTCTGAAGGTCAAGGTCCACTCCCTGTGTGCCTTTAGGGGCATTTTTATCAGCCTGGGCTTCCTTCTCTGTATGATGGGAGCAATCATTTCTGTATCATATAGTTGTAATAATCACAACCCGGCGTCTGGCGCCCGGTAGTGTTGTTCCTGATTTGTAGTCTTGGGAGGTGGTAACACCTCCAGAATCCAGCGTCCTAGCAGGAAATAGGTGGCAAGTTCAGATTGGAATAGTTTGAGAAGAGAGCCATAGAGGGACGATTGTTTATAAAAGTGTGGAGCGAACGTATTGTAGTCCATGGCTACTAATAGCAAGACTTTCTGGGCTGGGGATATAGCCCAGCGATCTAAGCGCCTGCCTGGCAAGCGCAAGGACCGGGGTTGGATCCCCAGTACCTCATGCCTGCCGTGCAGGTGGCACACGTCTGTAATCCCAGCACTGGGAAGGCTGAGACAGGAGGATCACTTGGGTCTGAGCCGCATTGCGAGACCCTGTACCACTAATAACAAAAAAGACTTTGTATTCACCTTTGGGCCAGAGAGAAGTGCATAGTTATCTGAATAGCAGCCTCAGGCTGCTGAGACCTTTGGTCGGGGGCTGGGGAACAAATACTGTATCAGGAGTTTCCTACTTTCTTCCCTGCACACTCCTGCTGGAGCATCCTGGTGGGTAAAGCCCCTTGGAAGCCCAGGTGGAGTGTATGTGGATCTACAAGATCTAAAAGATCTTGAGCACATTGTCATTTTTACAGGTGAGGAAACAAGGTTCAAAACAAATGATGAAATGATGTTTCATGTCACCCACAGTGGGATTTGTATTCTTTTTTTTTATGGTATGGGGGATGGAACTCAGGACCTTGCGCTTGCCAGACAGGTGCTTATGCTGCTGAGCTAACTCCCTGGCCTGGGATTCATAATTTTTAAAATTTATTTATTTATTTTTTGACAGAACTGGGGATTGAACTCAGGCCTTTGTGCTTGCCAGGGAAGCGCTTATTCCACTGAGCCATCTCCCTGGCCCCTTGGGATTCATATTCTTACAAGTTATCTGTAGATCAAGTGCTGTGCTGTGTGTCACTTACTGGTGGGTGTGAAGTGTTGACAAAGCTAGGTTGCTTAACCTTGCTGGTGTCAATTTCCTCCCAGCACCTCCTCTAGCACTGATATTTTCTTAAGTTGAGAAGTAGTGATACTATTAATTGGTAAAGTTAGTCCCATTTATCACCACATCTGATTGTCAAATGAAGCAATTGGGGCAGGAGGGTGGTTACCATTTCTGCTTCTTGTGAATAAGTCAGTGTTAATTCATTCAACAAACTCAGTACAGAGTTCCACATTGGTTGTGTTTTTGCCCTCATTGAAATAATATCCTTAAATTGCTAGCCCTGGACCTGTTCCCAAGTGTGCATGCCTCTGTGTGTGTGTGTGTGTGTGTGTGTGTGTTGGGTGAGAGGAATAGGATCAGTTGTCTTAGAAGACTGGGCAGGGCAGGTTGGAGCCGCAGAGTTGAAGTCTTTGATGAAGAATTCTGCGTCCTGGGCCCCACCAAATAGCTCCCAGCCTCTGCTACCTTGAGGCTGGCTGCACAGGGTGGGGGCGGGCAGGTGATCCAGAATTGAAGAGCCTCCAGCCTTGTCCTCTTTGCCCTGGGTGTAGAGCGGGAATCTGGGGATTTTTTTTTTGACCTCTGTCCCACTTTGCCTCAGACTCAGCCTGTCTTGTATTTCTCACTCTCATTCTAGGTACAGATAGGTGTGGTATCTTTTTTCATAGGGAGTTGCAAGTTAGTTTGCAGATTATTTTGTACTCTTCTTTCTTTAAAGTCTTTTTATTTGAAGCTTCTTATGTTCTTAGTAGCTTTCTGACCCCAGAATGATCAGCTGAAGGATTCCGTTGTCGCTATGCAGATGTCTGTCTGTAACACGTGGCAGTATGTATGGTATGTATGTATGTATGTATGTATTTATTTTTTGGCAGAACCAGGGATTGAACTCAGGCACTTGCGCTTGCCAGGGAAGTGCTTATTCCACTGAGCCATCTCCCTGGTACCAGTATGTATTTAAGACCTATACTTCAGAGCACTCCTCTTTTACTTCATAGCTTCCTTATTTTGGCCCCCAAATAAGTTTAGACCACCTTTGAGGCAGTTTCCCTACTTCAGTGACTATGTCTTTTTTTTTTTTTTGCTCCTGCTGACCTATATGTGGCATTCCTGTGAGGGACATGTGCATGATGTTCCTGACCCTAACCAGCAGGTCTTGCACTGCTGTTCCCAGTGGAAAAGCACATTTGGACTGGGGTGCATGGGCATGGTGGTGTCGGGAAGAACCTCAAATGTTCCTTAACGAAAGAAGCGTAGCTTTCATTGACTTCACTTGGCTGGTGTACTTTTGTGAGACACACTTGATACGCAGTTTTGGAACATCACTGTATCATAAGCCACTTGGGAACCAGTGTTTGACTTCTGCTTTTTTCTGGTACAGATGAGGAAACAACCAGAGGGGGTTGGGTCACCAGTGTCCTGATTTGGGGGGGTATCAGGCCATCATGTGATCGTGGGATGAGTTCAGTTTGTTATGTTTTGTAGGGTGAGCAGAACATCGCTTGAGGTCTTAAGGAGTTTTTAAGTTGTTAATCATGTTCTTATTTTGCATATTATTCTTCATGTTATTTGGCACAAGGCAGTTTTTCTCTGTATAAGTTTCTTAAGTCCTGTTTTTTAGGTTGAGGGGTCATAGTCATGGGTCATAGATTAACAAATGCAAGCAGTGACACCTCTGTTGCGTATTTCCCTCTCCCTTGGGTCTGTTTCTTGGCCATGTGTCTGTTGTTTTGATCAGTTGTTCTGGCCTGTGTTGATGCTGCAGTCTAACGTTTAACTGTTGAGGCTTGCTGTCTGATAAGTCAAATCTTCCTACTTGATTTTCTTCTTGAGATTTTTTTTTTAAAATGTGTTTGGTACAGGGTCTCACTATGCAGCTCAGACTTGTAGTGATCCTCCCATTTTCAGCTTCCCCAGTGCTGGGGTTACAGGTGTGTGCCACCATGCCTGCTCCCTGCACTTGCGTAAGTAGGTGCTTAGTCCACTGAGCTGTCTTGCTGACAAGTGTTTTGTTGTTTTCATATAAAGTTAGGATTATCTTGAGAAGGTCTTTTGGGGTTTTGATTGTAATTACATTGATCCTATAGATTATTTAGGGGGAAAATTGATAGCCTTGCCATAAATCTTGTTACATTGTGTAAGGTCATTGATCTAGTTCCTTACTATCTTTCAGTAAAGTGTAAGAATATTTTCATAATGGCGCTCACATCTCTCGTTGTTATTCCTAGTCATTTTTTAGTTTTTCTTTAATGTGCTAGCCTATTTGTATTTTAAAGCCTGCTGATTTATACTTTTTTTTTTTTGTCTTTTTGGAGACAGGATCTCGCTATGCAGTTCAGGCTGGCCTTGAGCTCACTTTGTGGCCCAGGCTGGCCTCAAACTCGCAACAATCCTCCTGTCTCAGCCTCCTGAGTACTGGGATTACAGGTGTGTGCCACTACTCCTGGCTTCCTTAAGGCTCTGGTGACCACTGCTTTTTCTGTTTCTATGAATTTGACTACTTAGGGTGGTCAGTTTTTGGTTTTTTTTTTTGGTCTATTCCAATTCAAACTCTAGTACAAGGTTGAATAGAAGGTGATGCTGGCGTCTTTGTGTTGCTTACAAAGAACTTCTAGTGTCTCTCTGTTACGCACCATGTTGATTGTAAGCTTTTGTAAATACTTTAAAGGAAGTTTTTTTTTTTTTTTTTTTTTTTTTTG